ATGACTGTGAGTAGTTTGAGAAGCAGAATTTATGGATAAAGAAAATTGACTGTATTGGCTTTGATCTAGCTCAGTGGTGCTCAACCTGTAGGTCCCCAGATGTTTTGGCCTTCTACTCCCAGAAATCCTAACAGCTGTTAAACTGGCTAGGATTTCTGGGAATTGTAGGCCAAAACACCTAGGGATCCACAAGTTGAGAACCACTGGTATTGCTCTTCAGCACAAGTAACTAAGTATCAGTGTCAACCATCAATGGCTTGAAAAAAATACTCCCCCCCCCAAAAAAAACCCCTCAGTTTTTCATTGTATATAAGGAATACTATTTTACTACACGATAATATATAATGAGGCTTCAGATCCAGGGATTTTAGCATCCATGGGGGTCATGAACCAAATGAACTAGATGTATAGGGCGAAGAAGAGCACTGAAGTTTCTTTCTGTCTACTGGTAACTGTTGCAGTGCCACATTCTGGATCACCACAGCAGTAGCACTGAAACACAAAAGGAAGTTAGACCAGAGGTGTAGCTCTGGGGGTTTGTGAGCAGGTGGATGATGGCATTGCCCCCCATAAGAATTTTGCCCTCTCCCATTGGCACCATTCCCTAATTTCTAGCATTGTAGTAACTTAACACTGCAGTAAAGCATTTAGGAATATAGTTTAGGCCTCCAAAGAAAAGCAGCAGTCGAGTTACCAAGGTAATGGAAACACAGAAAATGCAAGAGTTCTATCTGTTAAAACATTTCAGTGTCTTGCTCTCTGCAGTGCTAGACATTTTAGGACTAAAATAAATACCCATTAGGGTGACAGAATGTTTATTCGAAGGGGATTCGTGTGCTTACACCCCTGACTTAGGCTCTGCCAAACTACAATTAGTTACTTAGATCCCTCTCACTAGAATTCCTAGTTTAAGATCACTTACACATAAAGGTATTTAGTAGGCCTGGTTGATCAAGAAAAAATTTGGTTCTAAAATCGATTTGTAATTGGGGTGTTTTTTTGTTTCGATATTTAAAATAATTACAAAATTTTCCCAAAAAAAGTTTCGGTATTTACGAAATTTTGTAAATATTTACAAAACATTTTGTAAAGATGACGGACCCCCGCGCATGCGTAAAACAAGCTTCGTTATTCGTATAACTGCAAAGTTTCTTATCAATCCAGGATTCATTTCATCAGGGTTACTTGATAGTAAACATTCTTTTGCATTTTAGAAAATTTTCACATATTATGGAACTACACAAATGATGAGCGAGCAGTGTATGTAGCAATTTGTGTTGGCAAAAGGAGCGCACTGGTTGGAACTACACAAATGAGAGCGAGCACTGTATTATAGCACTTTGTGTTGGCAAAAGGAGCGCACTGGTTGGAACTCCACAAATGACAAACGCACACACAGCCACCGAAGACTCTTTTATTTTTTTAGAATATTTTTTGTTTTAAGAATAAAAGACAGGTATTTTTAGAAAATATTCAGAAATGGAAAATTAACCAAAAACTGGCCCTGATGTGGACCAAACACAGCCACGAGACAGGGCAAATGAGAGCACACACCAACAGAAGAGTCTTTTTTTTTTTTAGAATACTTTTTGTATTTTTTAAGAATAATATTTAAAAAATAATATTAAAAAATATTCAAAAATGGATACTGAAGACCAAACACAGGCAGGAGACAGCAAATGAGAGCACACAGGAACAGAAGAGTCTTTTCTTTTTTAGAATATTTTTTGTATTTTTTAAGAATAATATTTAAATAATATTAAAAAATATTCAAAAATGGAAACTGAACCAAAAACTGGCCCTGATGTAGAGCTAACACAGGCAGGAGACAGCAAATGAGAGCACACAGCAACAGAAGAGTCTTTTTTTTTAGAATATTTTTTGTATTTTTTAAGAATAATAAAAAGGTATATATTTAAAAATATTCAAAAATGGAAACCTAACCAAAAAATGGCCCTGATGTGGACAAAAAACAGGCAGGAGACAGGGCAAATCAGAGCGCGCACACAGCAACAGAAGAGTCTTTTCTTTTTTTGGAATATTTTTTGTATTTTTTAAGAATAAAAGGCAGGTATTTTTAGAAAATATTCAGAAATGGAAACTTAACCAAAAACTGGCCCTGATGTACAGCTAACACAGCCACGAGACAGGGCAAGTGAGAGCACACAGCAGCAGAAGAGTCTTTTCTTTTTTTGGTATTTTTTTGTGTTTTTTTTTAAGAATAAAATTAAAATATTCAAAAATGGAAACTGAACCAAAAAATGGCCCTGATGTGGACCAAACACAGGCAGGAGACAGCAAATGAGAGCACACAGCAACAGAAGAGTCTTTTCTTTTTTAGAATATTTTTTGTATTTTTTAAGAATAATATTTAAATAATATTAAAAAATAATATTAAAAAATATTTAAAAATGGAAAATTAAGAAACAAATTCACGAAAACCGAAGTAATGAATCCAAGCAAGGAATATAAGCAGCACTAAGCACAGCAACAAGGAATGAATCCAAGGAATGAGCAAGGAATGAATCCAATCCAGTTGCTAGCCAAGCCAAGCCAACCCAATGCAAACCCTCCCGGACCTCTTCTCTCTCCCTCGCCCTCTGCAGCAATGAGCTCAGCTGTACGGCCGCACGGAGCCACTTTTAAAGGGCTCGCCGGCCAATCAAAAACAGCCACGGTGCACTGCTTGGGTCCTTGGGAGCGCCGGATTGGCTCCCAGGCACCAGCAGCCTCCATCCCATTAACGAAACGAGCGGAATCTCGTTAAATCTATGGGGGTTGCCGGTTCGATATTTTTAAACCCTTCCGGGTTTGAAAATGTGTTTTGATATCGCTTCATAAATGCAAAAATTAACGAATTAATAACGAATTACGGAATTAACGAACGAAACCGCACAGGCCTAGTATTTAGCTTAACTGGTTTCCATAATTTCTTAATTATGCTTTAATTGTTGCTGGTTCTACCATTAGATGAAGGTAAATGGATCCCCCTTTCATTTGATATCATGTTGTAAGGAGCAGATAGAAGACACTTCAGGACAAAGGTGGATGTACCTTGAAGCCTGTCTTGTATCAGGTGGTCTTCCCTTTCTCAGCTATGCTTCTTTAATGCCAGTATTTAGGATCAGTCCATTACATTTTGCTACCTGAGGCAAAAGCAGTAAGTCATCCCCCCTGCCATGCCCAGGCATGTCAAGGTCTGTAGCACCCAGTCAAATTATTTTGACACCTGAGGCAGCAAATCCCACAAGCGCTCCTCTTTGGCAGTATTGATGCTGTAATAAATTGAATAACCATCACTTTGGAACCCTTTGATGACCCAGCCCCCAAATGAATTGCCTGAGGCAGCCAACTCACTCTGCCTAATAGTAGGCTTGAAGTACAATCAAGTAAACTCCTCCTGCATGTGGATTTGAAAAGGGATGACTGGGAGGAATAGGGGGAATGCCATCTTGTCCTTTGTCTGATGTGAAAAAAATATATCTTGGGTTACCAAATCCAGGTAAAAAAAATCTCAAAGTCATATTCATAATGCTCAGTAGATGCTGATTTCCATATAAGCTCCCGACTCAAAAAGATAGTATTATTTTTTATCCTGTAGATTTCATGTTGATGTACTGGTGTGCATTCACATAAAAAAGAGGACGAAGGTAGCTTTTAAAATACAAATGTTTCAACACTTCTGTGAGCCGATGCATGCCTCTTTCCTATCTGTGCTCTAGGTATCAACGTTCACCTTTAATCTTCATCTCCTTCTCTTCCTCTCCCTCGTCTTTGCCCCATGTTTCCGTCTACTGTTATTTTATGCATGAGATTTTCCTCTCTTCTTTCTCAGCTCTGTGCTTGGCTGCCTTTTTAAACTTAAAAGTTCCATGGTTATACTTGATTTTAGCAGAGGGAGGGCATGTGTATGTGCATTGCATGCAGATTGTAGAATGTCACAGAACTGCACTAGTTCTCAGAAGGAAAACTAATGCTGAGAGTTTCAGCCGGTATTGCTTGAGCTTTAATGTGCAGAAAATACATGACATATGGAACTAGTGCTTTTGATGGCCTTTGAATTTCCTTCTGGAGTATTCAATAACAAGAACAACAACCAGCCTGTCTATGCTGTGTGACGGAGGGGAAGACTAGCCATTTTCTCCTGCACAGTATGATTAATCCCGTAATATTCATTAATTGCCTCTGTGTCCTAGGCATGGAATGATATTAAGATTTAATTCTTTTATTCTTAAAAATCGATAGTCTGATCATACTTTGACCTGCTGGGACATGTAATAAACACTCTGAAAAGAACCCTTCAGATATCTGGATTTTAATCCCATTTTGATACCTCATTTTTTCAACAAATATGTCAGCAGGTATTCAAAAGGTTGGAAAGGGGATTTTCCCCCCCTATTCATGGTAGTATTTAAATTCTAACTGAAATGAATAAAATCCACTCCATGCTTATCACCGGGAAGTATTAGCTGGATTTGCAAAATGGAATTTCCATTTTGTGTGATATTTCTTTTGAAGTGAATACACTGTAAATTAAGACTCATTTTTGTTCACTGGGTAGAGATCACTTTAATCACAACCAAGAACTGAGTTCTTTCTTCATGTTATTAGTTTAAATTTTTGAAATGAACCAAAAGATTAAGCAGATTAAAGATGCTTCACTGTGATTGTTGCATATGATGGGTATATCTTTATGTTTTTTAAAAAAGTGATGATGAATATTGATCTGTCACCTTTTAATAGTACACATATTTGCTTTTTTGCTTCAGACATTATATATATATATTGTGTGTAAAGATATATGACTACAGATATAGATGGAATTCTATTCAACAAAGAATATTCTTCTGGAAAAAAACTTTTTGAGCAGACCAAAATGAATACAACCCCTAAATGTTTTTCTTAAAACATCCATGGAAGTTGAATATTGACATTTTTTTCTCAGTCTTGTATATTCTTGAATTGTCTTTTTCCTCCATTTTCTCCATTCTCAATCCTAGGTCCCCTAACAAAGAAACAGACAGATGATTTAGGTGATAATGAAGGTGCGGAGGATGAAGGTATTTTTTCCCCACCAAACTGATTTGCATGAGAAGGACCCCTTGAAAAATCTTTTTTGTCCCCTCTTTTTTTTTGACTTCTTGTCTTCTTTTGAAGATTTGTTTTTTAATTCCCATTTTTGATGTGTTTTGTCTTCTTGCTTGTTGTTACATATTTTATTTTTTCTTTAAAAAAAAGAATGTTGTTAAGTTCTTACAATAACAGTGTTTAAAAGAAACGGAGGATATTTTACTTTTGGTTTCCTTGGAACAGGGTCTTGCTATGTTGCATCCCACTTTTGACTGAATTTTGTCCATAATAACTAACAAACACGCTTTGGAAACAGTCTATCTATACACCTTTTTTGCATGTTTTCTAACCTCTGTTTTGATATATTTCACCAAATACAATGGAAATGTGTTTTTTTTCTTTCTTTTTGCTACCCACCTATGTCAACTTTAATCAATATTGAAATGTTGTATTTGAGGATGAAGGTGTGATGAGGGCTGTTCTAAAAGTGTATCTCAAGCAACTGAAATATTACTGGAATTGTTTACTTTGGCTTCTAGTGTTCAAACACGCTTTAACCCTAATTCAGATTAAGACATGAATTAGCTTTACACTAATTAGTCCTCCAAAAAGCTGGTATATATCAGATGTCTTGGACTACAAACTTCATTAGTACAGACAATAGTGGCCATTCTGCTTGGGTAGAATGGAAGCCATAGACCAACATATTCAGAGGTCATCAGGTTAGCAAAATCTTTACTACTTGAACTGAGAGTATTTATGTTGAAATCTATGGAACCATTGGTAATGAAAGTTCTGAAATTGATGAATTCCACCGATAACAAACAATAATTATTTCATCTTGACACAATATATAGAAATTTCCTATTAAACTAGTTTTAATTTTGCTTCAAATATCCGCACATCAAGAGTGAAGCTACTTCTTCCTGGACTCATTTTTTTACCCATAATCTTCTATAATTGTCCACAAAAGAGATTGTTCAGTTTACATAGACACATTTTACAGCAGTTCTATGGCTTTCCCTCCTTTCAAGGGGACTCAAGTGGAATCATCTCCAAAAATTGTGGTTTCATTTTTCTTGAGTAATCCTCAAGTTCATGCTTGCCCAAACTGCGATTCACTGAAGCTAATGAAGATTACTAGAACTCAGAAAAAAGTCATTTTGGTACTACAATCCCATAAATACCTCAGTAAAAGTGCATTATAGGAATTGCAATGGAAAATGTTGAAACTTGTTAGGTATTTTTGTTATCCTGCACAGCAATAGGTTTATTAGATTTTTAGGTGCTCCATAATGGATAATTGTCTTATTTGGCTTGGAGAATCAGTGGGTTGCACAGATCTGCTTCATATTTATAAATTAAAATATTTTAATTACAACCTGTTATTATGAGACCTCAAGGTGGCAAACCGATAAAATACTATAAGCCATTTAAACAGTTTCAGATTAAAATCAATAAATAATTTAAACAAGATTTAAAAACACATTACATAATTCAAACAAGTTAAAAGAGCTTTAAAAGGTGAAAAGCATTAAAACCATGTACGTGCTTAAGAGTCGATTATGTCCTAATATCTCTAATAAAAAGTCATGTATTTCTCTGTCATTGAAAAGAACCAACAGTGATGCCAACCAGGCCTCCAGGAAGAGAGCATTACTAATAGTGTGTCACAACATGTCCTATCCCACTGTATTTTCTCCACTGCTGAGATACAAATGACGACCCCTTGGTGGTCCTCCAACAGGCGTACAATTTGTGGGTTCTTCAAATGGAACCATCTGTTTGTGGTCCAAGGCTCTTGCTCTAACACATATTTCCTTAGATGTTCTGTTACATTTTGTTTGTTATCTTTTCAACCTCGTTAACTTTCATAACAATGATAGCAGTACCTGCACTTTGCGAAGCAAGATGCATGGTGGCTATATCATGGGACTTTCTTGGCAAGATTTATTTAGAAAAGGGTTGCCTTTGCTGTCCTCTGGCTCTGAGAGTATGTGACTTGCCCAAGGTCAAGTAGTAAGATTCCATGACCATGTACAAATCTAAATCCTGGTCTCCCACACTGGCTAGACTATATGAATGAATGAATGAATGAATGAATGAATGAATGAATGAATGAGATTTATAGAATTCCCATAAAGAAGACCCCAGCAGTCAAAGGATTAACTTTGTCCACTCCTTCCAATTTTGGTTCCACCACCTCTTAAACCAGTGATACACAACCTGTCACCCTCCTGGTGGTTTGGACTTCAGCACCCGGAATTCCTGGCAATTGGACAAACTAGGGCTTTTGGCAGTTGGAGTCCCAGATGCCTGAAAGACCACAGGTTGTGCACTACTGATGATATTTTTTTAAAAAGTCATTGTGAGTGACAGAAAAGAAATCAAGGACTGGGATATTGCAAGCATGAGAAAAAATATACAGTATATTCTGGCGTATAAGACTACTTTTTAACCCAAGAAAATCTTCTCAAAAGACAGGGGTCGTCTTATATGCGGGTGTAGTCTTATGCATGGCTGTCGTCTTAACTCTATATTTTAACTGGAAAAGTTGGGAGTCGTCTTATACCCCCAGTCGTCTTATATGCCGGAATATATGGTACTCTATGGATACTCTTTAGATCTTCTGATACATAACTTCTTCATAGAAATAGCAAAGTGAAAATATTCATTCTCCTCTATAAAATTAATAAGATTGAATAGAAATTGTGCTTTCCCAGCCACTAAATTAACCAAATAACCATTACAAAATGTAAGCATCTTAAACTCTGTGAAAGAAGTAATGGGTCAATGGGGTTATTTCCTGAAGGTGGGATTTGAATATTTTCCCCTACAAATTATTAAATGTGCATATGTGGAAGGAAGAACCCATCATGTGCTATGATTACCTTTCACACTATGCAATTCATAATTCAAATCCAAGTTATTCCAAAAATGTATATAACCTTTATGATTATTATTTCAAGGCTACGTAAATGCATTTATATAAATGTTATAATAAAAATTATTCAGTTACAAATTCCATCTTAAATTACAAATTCATAAAAGGTCATCACTGTGCAACAACACACTACTTGCATTGCCGAAGCACAGGATATTTGTACTCTAGAGTTGCCTCAATCTCACATGTACCTTCTGAATCTGGGGCCATATATCTAGATGGTCCAGTCTGTCCCCTTGGTGGCCTGTCCTCTTGCTCCTGTGTTGACACTGTTGCTCCTCACTAGCCATGGAGTTCCCTGTTAGTGCCTGGCTGTCACATCTGTTGAAATCATAACAAGGTGTCCACATGATTTGTAAGCAGCGGGTAGAGCAACATCCTCTTTCTTCTTGAATTTTATGGACAATCCATTCTGTTTTCAGAAAATGTGACAGGTTATAGCCTGGCACTCACAGTGAGCTCTATGGCAGGTGAAAAGTTGTAGTGGATCCCAAGGACAACCCATCCCCTTGTGCTGATCAGAGCAGTGAAAGGGTAATGGAAAGTGTGTATCTGGACAGTTGATCAGGGGAAAAAGGACTAATTCCAGTAGTCTGGATGGCCGTAACAACCCAGGATACTCCAGTGTTTCCTGCATTGTGTAGACAAGAGTTATTTTAACTTTTTCCAGTCACTTTTCCCCCTTTCTGCCTGTGAATGTTTTACATGACCTCAGGTATATAGGTATATAAGTAGGTATACAAATCAAACATTTACTGATAATAAATCAGCATTTGCAAGATTTGCTAATAATCACTGATTTTCCTTTTTGTGGAGTACAGCTGAAGCAAATTTGGCAGACTCCACTGTAAACAACACATCACATTGTTGCTAGCAGGTCTGTCTAAATGGGCAGCAATCTGAAACCATTAGTGTTGCCAATGTTTTCAGGAATCCCAACACTTAGTTAAGGGGTCCCCATGTGGGGTCAGGACCCACAGTTTAAGAAGCACTGGTGTAGATTGCCAATGCTGTATTTGACAGGTAGACAGACCCTTAAAGTTGCTTTTGTAATTACAAAGCACTTCTCTATTATCGTAATGTTTAATCTTGTTAAGGCAGTATTCATTTTTGAAATATATTTGAAGGGGGCACCTTGTACTTTAACTAACACTGAAATACTCTTGTGTTTTTACTTCACTAGTTGTTAAGCAGAAAAGAAAGGATGCAGAGGTGAGGTTTCTGAAAGGAGGACCAAGTAGTTTCAAGCAGCTGGTTCTGCCTTAAAAGACTAGAAATCGAATGTATGACTTCTAAGGAGAAATGAGAGCCAGAGCTAATAAATCATAAAAAATGACAGCGAGGAAACTAACTAAATCTGCTTAGCAAATCCAAGCAGCATAAATCTAACTCTGTAATAAAATCTGTATCAGTGGATCACTCAGATAGCACATTTTCAGCCTATTCTGGAGCACCACTCTAGCTGTGAAGTATACTTCAACCATATCTGTAATAATAATAGGTGAAGTGGTTTCTTTTCCATGTTCTTTTCTATTAATAAAAGAAAAGAAAATGCTGGTCACCACTTTATATTTGGTCTTTCCCAATCTATATAGCATGGAGCAGCAACAAGCATGGGCTTGACAGCTAACCCAGCTCTAATTAGATCATTTTTCATGTTTGCTTTCAAAAGACCCTAAAGGAACCTAGGGCACATTAGAGGCTAATGGCCTGTAGTTCAGCAGTTTGGTAACAAGATTTTCACTAACTCTGCCCCCACCCCAAGTATTAAAAATAACAATTTCTCTTTGCTTTCCTACAAATCTGTTTATTTTCTATCATATTTGTTAATATAAAATAGAATCATAACATTCTAAATAATAGGAAACAATGGCAGCAGACTGTTCATCTCTCTTTCCTGTGTTTTCTCTAAATACCAACTTTGTAGAAGTCGCAAAGAGAAATCTTTCTAGTAGTGATCACTGTATCCCTACTGAGATCTCTTGATGGTGATATTGCATGACATATCATGGTGAACCCACCAGTTTGTGGAGAGATGCCAGTCAC